CGTCCATATAGGTGGTGTACAACAGTAGTAGACGTCCATATAGGTGGTATACAACAGTAGTAGGCCTCCATATAGATGGTGTACAGCAGTAGTAGGCGTCCATATAGGTGGTGTACAACAGTAGAAGGCGTCCATAGTCAGCAGGCCTGAATAAGCATCGAACAGAAATTAATTAAAAATACTCACACTATTTCGTCGCGTACACAACATACACTTTATTCATGTCAAATAACCACAGATGACGCGTATTTCCACGAGTGTGTATATAGGACATAACAGCTCAGCTATTCTACCGACCCCCACCCTTAGCTCACCGTATACCTCTCCTGTAGGCAGACCTCAGCATTTTACTCCTACTAGAATCACGATGACACACCTATAGGATCCCCTTATATATCTTTAGCACACCCATTTATACACTTCCCGAAACTCGCGCACACGCACGCACGCATGCAAATATCTATGAATCTTTACCCCTAGACAAATTATTTTATTATATTTTATTTGGGTATTATACCCAACGAATTACCACATCACACCCAATCGTATTTTTAGCCATATCGACCCATACCGTAAATAATCATCCACGTGGACATCACTCCTTCATAGCAAGGAGCTAAATATAACAAGGAGAGGAAGAGGATTGGCTGTGCGCTTTTCGCCTCAAGGGCGCCATCTATGGACCATAATCAGCTGAAACGGCTGTGCAGACCGAGCCCAGAGACAATAGAACACTAATCTGTTCTAGGGTCTCTGCCGAACCCAAATTTGGGCCAGATATATGGCGGCGCTTCCTCTCCTTGTTATATTTAGCTCCTCGCTTCATAGCCTTTATGTTATTATCATCAGGTACGAGTTGCTGATCGAAGTGTCGCTGGAGGCGCTGTCATCGCTCGCTAGTGTGCAGGGATGTCCCGCCATGCTCTGCAACATCGGTGTCATCGACAGCCTGGTGACCACCATGCGGCAGCACCGGCACAACTATGGTACGTGCCATCGTGCCGGCTTTAGCGCAAGGCCTATATAAATAAATACGTGTTTATATATAAATAGGCCTTGCTTTAGCTGAGAGGGTCTATGTCCCCCAGGATACTATCGGAGGGTATCCTGGGTACGGTTCGATATATCGGAACGTACCCTGGTACTATCTAATATGCCGGACCGTACCTCGCCTACTCCACTAACGAGTCTAGGGAGTCGCCTACGCCTACTCCCTAACCCTAACCCTAACCATATCAGATAGTTACCAGGGTACGTTACGATATATTCGAACCGTACCCAGGGTACCCTCCGATAGTACCCTAGGGGACATAGACCCTATGAGCCTTGCTTTAGCCTTGCCTCAATGTGCCTGGCCTGATTAGCTCTAAAACGCTCAATGTAATGATGAGAATGACATCATACAGCGAATAAAGGACCAGGTTTCTGTTGTAAGAAATGAATAATTACGACAAAGTCTAAATATCACAATATTTGCTCATTTAGTATCGCGCTATTATTATGATGTTTAAGACTTATAGTCTTTAATTGGATTATTAAATAAATAATTAGTTATTAATTAATTTAGTTATTAATAATTAATTAATAATTAATTAGTTTTATTATTAGATCTCTTAGTATATAGACTTTCAGACGATAGTCGCAACAATTTACGATGTTTTTAACAACGAGGCTCCGGGATGAACATAGATATAGTGAGACACTATTCTATTGCTGGGGCGGTGTAACCCACTACTATCACGCTGTCTCAGAGCCATATGATGTTGCAGCTATACAGCTGAAGAGCCTCGTTCTACTACAAGTGCTCGTAGTCGACCAGCGATTGATGACGTCACCAGCCACCTGCAGCTCTATCGCGTCAGTCATCTGTGCGGCGATGGCAGAGCACGACAGCGATAATCAACTACTCGAAGAAGTAGGCATTCGTGTGTTCCAATATTTGCTCATGTGTATTTATACTGGCAATATAGACGTGCTGGCGCTTACTCCTTGCCATTTATCTGGCAATTAGGGTTAGGGTTACGCCACATGTTAGGGTTACGGTCGGGGTCAAGGTCAGGGTTAGGGTTAGGGTCAGGGTCAGGGTCAAGGTTAGGGTAAGGGATTCGCGTTACGTTATAGCTAAGACGAATGTTAAGACTGATATTGTTTTCGACAACGGGCCCCAAGTCGCTAAGTCCTGTTTGGTGTTTCCCCGTTACTAATCTGGCTCTGGTCTTGCAGGCGTGTGTGGCAGTAAGGCTGCTCTGTGAGTCAAGCAGGCTCATGGCTGAAGCTATCGTGCAGACCGACGCGCAGGCGTGTCTCTTCAAGCTGCTGAGCTCGCGTCGGCGGACCGGCAACCACGCGCTGCACGACCTCGCGGCCGAGTGTCTCTACGCACTCGCCTGCTACCACGACCTCAAGTCCGCCATGCTGCTGCGTGCCTGCCACCAGGGTGCGCTGCACGCAGCAGAATGCCTCCTGCAGCTCGGCGCTGATCCGGACGCGGCGTCTGACAGCAGCGGCAGCGGCAGCGGCGGGGGCAGCGGCGGCGGCGGGAGAGAGACAGCGCTCGTCGTCTGCTGCTCGCGCGGTGACGCGGCGCTCGTGCGCGCGCTGCTGCGGCGCGGAGCGAGCGGCGGGCTTCACGAGGCGCTGGTCACGTGTCTCGCGTCGCCGCGCGGCGACGCGCTCGCCGGCACGCTGCTGCGCCACGTCGGCTTCGACCGCGAGTCAGGCGCCCTCTACTGGAGCCGACTGCAACTTACGCACGTCTGCCTGGACTGGTTCATCGCCGCGCCTTCTCCTGCTGGCGACGACGCCGACGCCGACAACGGGGAGGAGCACCACGACAATGACGATGACGCTGACGCTGACGATGACTCGGTTGTTGAGTGTCAGGCGAAGCGGCTGGCGCTACTGATCGAGGAGAAGTCGGCCGCCTTCACACACGCGGCCGATGATCATAGACTGACGCTATTGCAAAGCGGCGCCGTACAGGCAGTGTGCACGGTGTGTGACGGGGACAGTCTAAGCCCGCGCGCCGTCAACCCCACGACCGCTTACTACGATGACGTAACGCGTTTGCAGAACAGTGACGGCAGTGACAAGCTGACGGGCTGCTCAGCTGAGCAGTGTGCGGAGGCAACTGACGGGCCTGCAGGTGGTGGCAGCGTGCGTGCTGCTGCTGCTGCTGCTGCTGCAGAGCGACCGTGTAGGCTGTGCAGGGATGCTGAGCATCAGGTGATGAAGATGAGGGAGTGGAGTAGGATGTCACTGACCAGCACACATCGCTCCTACCACGTGCTTGACCCGCGCTTCCAACCCTCCCGTCAGACGCAGGCTCACCCACCCTCCTCCAGACATACAGCCTCCACCATAGACACGCACCCACCCTCCTCCACACACACCGCTTCCACCATAGACACTCTCTTACACTCCTCCACACATACCGCCTCCACCATAGACACACACCCACCCTCTTCCACACACACCGCCTCCCCCACACACACTTTCTCACCCTCTTCCACACATACCGCCTCCACCATAGACACACACCCACCCTCCTCCACACATACCGCCTCCTCCACACACACTCTCTTACCCTCTTCCACACATACCGCCTCCACCATAGACACACACCCACCCTCCTCCACACACACTCTCTCACCCTCCTCTCTACACACTCTCTCATCCTCTCTCCTACACGACCACTCACCTTCCTGTCTACGCAGCCGCCCGCCCCGCCATCTTCACACCAATTCACCCGCTTGCTCTCTCCCCTCACTCTCTCCACCCTTCTGCTGGTTGCGGAGGGACCCTACCCGTCTCCTGCTACAACCAATCCCTCCTCACCATCCCCATATGGAGGATGCTAGCAAAGATGCGGAGGCTGAGGTACCACCGGCGAGCGAGCGTCGCGTGCGGGCGGTCTCTCCCACCGTCGTACGCATCATCGATCTTTCCGACAATCACCTGACCGACGTCGCTGCGTTCGGCGCGGCCGGAACCCGTCTGCTCTGCTATTTCCGGTAACAGAAGCGCTTGTGCACGCTCGCGCTTGTCAGCAGTATGTTATCAAGAGCGTATTAAGTATGTTATCAAGAGCGTATTAAGTATGTTATCAAGAGCGTATTAAGTATGTTATCAAGAGCGTATTAAGTATGTTATCAAAAGCGTATT